TATTATTATTATTAATTTTTTTTTTTTAGGAAAAAAGTAAGCATGAAGGTCCACCCCTGAACATGTCATATGGGGAGTGAGCAAATCATACGAAAAGGTATGAATGAGATCATACAAATTCATACAAATTAACCACCAGTTTGCCAAAATATGAAATACAAATTGTCATGAGATTGTGTTCGTTTTTCTGCTCCTACTAAGCACCAGTAATACCAGAAATATGAAATAAGGTGACATATAAGCAACTACAGCAGCCATTAAATTGGATTTACAATGTATGTACTATATGTAATCATAGAGTAGAACATCATTTTCAGTACATTTACACCATAATGTTATATTATGAGCAGGCATGATGACACAGTCATCCAGTAAAGAGTTTTCAGATGCATGCAAAGAAATCCTTTTCAGTACAGTATTATTGTTTCTGCCTCAGTGAGCTAACCTGTGTTATGTAAGTGCCACTTCCATCCTTCCACTCAGGTGAGTCAGAACATTTAGCTCGTTGCATATCCCAGCCTGTGTTCTCATCTCTGTTTGTTCTTTTACAAGCTCTTGTCTGTGTCTGTATTTAAAACCAAACCTGGTTGCCGGTCCATGAGTATTGTTCTTACCTGCGTCAGAGTATGCAGGATACTGGGTTTGGCTTTCTCTGGGTCAGTATCGTCCCCTCTCTCAAGTTTCCCCTTCTTACAGCTCTTGCAAAGCAGGGAGAGACCACACAGCGTCAACACTCCAGACACGGTTCCCAGCGTAGCCCCCAACAGCGCTGTCGCAGACACGAGCATTCCCACCTTGAAACAGACACCCAAACACACCGAATGAAGTGCAGAGGAGAGAAGAGGAGAAAACAGGAGGAACAATCCACTCTTCAGTGATGTGACTCCATGGTGAGAGAGGAGGAGGAGGAGGAGAGAGGAGATGATTGGAGAGCTACTAGAGACATAGAGTGGCACGTGTATGTGTGTGTGTGTGTGTGTTTGTGATGCACGGTCTGAAACCACCTCAGCCTGGCAGACAGAGCAAGAGAGAGAGAAGGAAGGAGAGACAGACATAGATAATCAAAGGGGAGGGGCTTCGATGGCTGGCAACCCCTCCTCAATAAGGAGAAGTCTGTCACTGCAGCCCACCCCCTTCATCACCAAAGTGGCTGTACGTCAGCCTTTACGTCAGAGCTGCATGAACTCACCTTCACACACTGGGTGTGCTGTAGCAGATCTTCATATATACACTCACAGTATAGAGAGATTCTTAAAATAATGAGGTATGAAGTGTAGGAGTGTCATTATGAAGAGAGGCTGTTTTATTTACGCATTTGGCAGACGCTTTTATCCAATGCAACTTACATCGCAATTTATCAGTTCATGCATTTGCTGGGAATCCATGACCTTGGCATTGCTAGCACCATGTGCTACTGTTTGAACTAAAAAGTTAAACAACATTAAAGACGGTTAGATTTTATAATTATGATTATTATTAAATTTACATTTCTGATATCTAGACTTATATTTTTGTGATTTTGCTTGGTGTCACCAAGCTTGTGCTGCTTGGGCGCTAGGTTTAGTCATACACTGCACTCACTTTCTTGTGTGCCAATAGTGCATATGATAAAAAAAAAAATAATAATCTCACATTCTTACTGACACATTAATTTGTTTTACACTTCTACACATTTTGTGACTTACAATAATAACACAAAATGACTTTTCACTGATTTTATTACAAGAACAGATTTGGACAGATGTCTAGGCATTTATCCTTATGAAAGCATAAGTGAAGAAAGTGAGATTAGAGGAGAGATGTTTTCTTACACAGAGGAACAGCACCACAGGCTAGGACTGCATCCATCATGTAGGCTACTAATAAAGACAATGGTATGACTGTAGAATTAGACAATATTATTTGGTCAGGTCTTGCCTTTTTTTCTAACTGCTTTGGTAATATTTTTAAGGTTTGGAACTCATTCCTTTAAAAGCATGGAGCTGTCTGCGATTCATGAAGCGGCCATGTTTGATGGCTTTGACCTTGAGAACGCCAGAGAGAAAATGGACCTGTGACGCCATCTTCAGGTGATATACAAAGTAAACACCTTATTTCAGCCTCATAAATTACCTGAATAAATGCCAAAGTTGTCTTCATATAATAGTTACAACCAATTAAAGGCCACCGCATTCTACGGCTGTATGTATTCTGTGGGTTCTTATTAAGAAGCGGTTCCATTAAAAATACCAGAACTGAATGATTTACGTACGGCTCTGTTAACGCTTGTTAAACCACTCTGGCAATGTTTCGCACAGGGGGGTGGACCGGTGGCTAGAGCCACTGCCCCTTTGCCCTCATCGGCTGAGTTGCCCCTCTCACCAACGGAAAACTCTGCAGGGCTGCGGCTCTCCAGGACCGACGTTCGCCACCCCTGGTATATAATATAGATTTATGCTGTAAAATATTAAATTAAATGTCTAATACTTTTATGGGAGAGTGGGGTGAGATTAGCCATTTTTTTCCTTATGTGGTCCTCAAGATAAGTTAAAATGCTGCAGAAGTACAAAGAAAGTATCTATCCTATCCTATACTATCCTAATGAAAGTATTCCGATCATTTTAAATGATCAGAATGTATCTATGACAAAGGGTTCTAAAAAATATGGCTTTAAAATATTTAATTGTTTGCATTTCTGAAACAATATGTTGAACACCAAAGTTGTAGCCTTGCTTAGGGTAGGGACTACAGGTGGAAAGATATATCTGATTATAATGCGTGATATATCAAATAAACTACAAATAATATGTATATATATGATAAACTAAACCAGTAATATCACATTAAAACACCAGTTAATTCGGCTATATAAATATATATATATATATATATATATATATACAGCAACAAAAAAAAGGGGAAAAAAAGGAAGGAGCCAGGATCGTCAAGTGAAATCGAAAACCAAATCTTTAAATACCATACTGCTCACATCGTACGTTTTCCCTTGGTTAATCGTTAGTGTGGCGACATGTGCGCAATATTTGATAACAGAGCAGCGTGCGGACACGCTCTCTTGTCATCGCAGTGAAGGGGCGGGGCTTCGGTTCTGCATTCGCTACAAAGATGGCAACGTCCATAGCGCTCAGCCTGGATAACTTACCGTCTGATCCCTTACTGCTGGTGCTGTCATTTCTGGACTTCCGAGATCTGATAAGGTAGACATTCAACTTGAGCCATTCTGTCAGTCTGTGCAATAATAAGCACGCTTGTCTGTTTCTTGAATGAGCTTGAAAAATAATATTCGCTGCACAGTTAGCTGGCAATGCTAACAGCATAGCTTATGATGTTACTCAGGTACTGTTGATAGACAAATACGATAACACTGCGATAATGTTCATTTTCAGTCGCTATGAAAAGACACGCATCTGTGTTAGCTGTTATACTTGATCATCTCGTGCATCTTATGTTTGAAGATAGAAGTGCATGACTTCATGTAAGTTGACAGTGTTGTGCGATAAGCGGCATCACAAAAGCGTTATTTCTGCTGCAGCCGCACGGTGAAGGCAACTGTTTGCGCTTTGGGGATCATAAATTGAGTTATGCTTTGATAATAAATATTTTGGTCTCGGAAATGGGCAGTGATGATCACGTGACGCTGGTCCGCTGGAAATGTGTGTGACATAGCCAGTGTTGCTAAGTTTTCCCTCGCTCGCTGTTTAAAGCAGCTACCAAGACTTTACATCTTGTCATCATTTTAAAGGATACATTATTACGTTTACATTTATGTATTTGGTTGATACTTTTATCCAAAGTGACTTCCGTTGCACTCAAGGTCTCCTACCCATAGTACATTTATTAAAGGGGTCATATGATGCTGCTAAAAAGAACATTATTTTGTGTATTTGGTGTAATGAAATGGGTTTATGCGGTTTAAGGTTCAAAAAACACATTATTTTCCACATACAGTACATTATTGTTTCTCCTCTGTGCCCCGCCTTTTTGAAACGCGTCGATTTTTACAAAGCTCATCGGTCTAAAAAAGCGAGGTGTGCTGTGATTGGCCAGCTATCCACTGCGTTGTGATTGGCCGAATACCTCAAGCATGTGACGGAAATGTTACGCCCCT